TAGTCATTGTCTAGCTCTCATATGCATAGCAAGTTATTGCAAAAACTATAGCCTGTATCAGGTGCACCTCAGTCTCCAGACTGACATCGTTGCTCCTTAGTACCTTGGAGCGGTCTCTGACAGCCGACTTTCCCAATACATCTTTTCATTTCCTGGCTATTAGTGCCAAGAGTGTTGATGAGCCAAGCAAACTGAAGCTGTCAGTAATTTCAGTCTCTTCATCATCCATCATAATGTTGCCAATCTGCCGAGTGGTGAGAATCTTTGTCTTCTAGACATTGAGCCTCAATCCATATTGGAGGCTACAGTCCTTGACCCTCTGCAGCAAGTGCTTCAGGTCCTCCTCAGTTTCAGCAAGCAGGGTTCTGTCATCTGCACAAGGCAGATTGCTGATGAGTCTACCTCCAATCCTGATGTCACCTTTCTCCTCATAGAGCCCAGCCTCCCAGATAATCTGTTCCACATATAGATTGAAAAGATACGGAGATAGAACACATCCTAGAATTGTATACAACAGTAATTTATGAATTGCAAATACTTTCGGGGGGGGGATGGGAACCATTCATGTGGACCTCACAGGAATCTAACTGATTTCCTTATCTGTGGAAGAAACAGACCAAGTATTTATATATGTAAGTTCAAATTAAAGTTGAACAAAATAAAAACAGGTCCATGAGAGCCAGAATGTGGCCTTGAGTCTATCCCACCTGAATTTAAAAACCATCTTTAGAATACTAGATTTGATTCACAGAATGATTCAAGACAACTTGTGGAAAAATGTCATCCATGAAGCAAGCCAAAGGTCATTACAAAGACAGGGAAGGAAGAAAAGACCAGAATGAAATGTGTCAGAAGTGACTCTGAAATTTGCATTGGAATACAAAGCAGCCTGACAAGATTAGGCTGAGGTAAGAGGGCTGAACAGATGGTTTCAAAGGGCAGTTCAAGAAGACAAAGCAAAGTATAATAATAAAATGTGCATAGATCAGGGTTAGAAAACAAAAAGAAAAGGACACGCTTGGCATTTCTCAAGCTGAAAAACTTGAACACATTCAAGCCTTATGTTACAATACTGAAGGATTCTGTTGGTAAAATCTTGGAAGATGCAGGAGATATCAAAGATAAAAGGTTTCACAGTCACTGAACCAAAAAGAATCTGTCAATACTGAACCATTTCAGGAAAGAGCATATGATCAGTAACCAACAGTACTGCAAGAAAAATCCCAAGATGCACTGAAGGCATTGGCAAAATATAAGGAATCAGGAGTAGCAGTTGAGGTGTTCCAGGAAACAGATGCAGCCCTGGATGGGCTCACCAGCCTCTTGCCAACAAATATGGAAGACAGTTGCCTGGCTGACTGGAAGAGATCCATATGTTTCCATTCCCAAGGACGGAAATCCAACAGACTGTGGGAATTATCAAACAATGTCACTATTATCATATGCAGGTAAGATTTTATGGAAGATTATTTTAAAACAACTGGAATAGGACATTGACGGAGAAAAGTGCAAAATTCAGGCTGTGTTCAGAAGAGGCAGGGGCATAAGAAAGATCACTGTGTATGTTAGGTGGATCATGGCTGAAAGCAGAGAATACCAGGGAAATGTTTTCTTGTGTTTTATTAGTTATAAAAAGGCATATGACTGTGTGGATCATACAGTTATGACTAATACTGAGAAGACCTGGAACCCCAGAACACGTAATTGTGCTCATGTGAAACCTATATCTAGACTAATAAACAGTATCAATAGAAAAGGAAATATTGCATAATTTAAAATCAGGAAAAATGTATATCAAGGTTGTATCCTTTCTCCATACCTGTTTGATCTGTATACCAAGCACATCATCTGAGAAGCTAATTTATGTGAAGAATATGGCATCAGGTTAGATAAGACTCATTAACAACCTGCATTATGCAGATGACACAACCTTGTTTGCTGAAAGTAGAGATGACTTAAAGCACTTAGTGCAGAAGGTCAAAGACTGCAGCTTTCACTATGAGTTACATCTCAAGAGGAAGAAAACATCCCTAGAGGACCAGTAGGCAACATCATGATAAATGGGGAAAAGATTAAAGTTGTCAGAAGTTTCGTTTACTTGAATCTACAATCAACACCCATAGTTGCAATCAAGAAGTCAAAAGATATGTTGCACTGGAGACATCTGCTGTCATGGACTTCTTTGTTTAGGACTGTGTTCTGAAGAGGACAGATGTTAAAGAAAAAATCCAACCCTTGATATTTTCAGATGCTTGCTATGCATCTGAAAGTTGGGCAGTGAATAAAAACGAATTGGAGTATTTGAGTGTTGATTGTCCCAGGGACAACCAAAAGAACAGACGAGTCTGTCTTGAAGGAGGTACAACCAGAATACTCCTTACAGGCGAGGATGGTGAAACTTCACCTCAGTTACTTTGGACATATTTTCAAGAGGAAATTAAAGGGAGTCCTTAAAGGGAGACATCATGCCAAGATGGGTAAAGGGTTAGTGAAAGAGAATATGACCTTCAACAAGATGGATTGACGGGATTACCACAGTGGGATGAAGTATATGACAGAGATGCTGAGGATGGTACAGGATAGGGCAGGGTCGAGATCTGTTGTTCAGAGGGTCACTGTGCATTGTAGTTGACTTGATGGTACCCAACAACAGTATTCCAGAGTGTACTGATGCGCTGTATCCTTTCATCTGTTGATGGTCACTTAGGTTCTTTCTTAGTGCTATTGTGATTAGTGCTGTGAACCTATTGTGCATGTATTTGTATGATGGCTTTTACTTTCCTGAAGTGGGATTGCAGGATCATCTGTTATTTCCATTCCCTCCTTTCTTAAGAAGTGCTAGAACATTTCCCTTGGGGGTTTTATCATTTTACAGTCCAACCAGCAATGGACAAGGGTTCCTGTCTCTTCTTCCTCTCTGGCATTTAATACTTTCTGGACATTTTTGTTTGTTCTTAAATCTTGCTATTACTGCCAGTTGAGATGATAGCTCATTGTTGTTTTGATTTGTATCTCTCAAAATGATTAATGGTCATGGGCATTTCTTCATGTTATCAGTCTTAACATTCATATCCTTGGCCTACTAATTGGACTGTCTTCTTGTGGTTGGTATATTCAAAATTTTTTTGTGAGTTTTAAGAGATAAGTTTTGTCAATTAAATCATTGCTCTTTTAGAAGTGTGGTATCATTTTGATAGGGTTGATATACCTGGACAAAGGTTAAATTTTTCAGGATAAATTTCAGTATCAAAAGGCTATTTAGATTCATGAAAAGCTTTATATTTCCTTAAAATACCTTTTAAAAATTTCATTTCACAGCTCTGACATTTTATGTCAGAGTCCCTCATCTGTCCTGGGACTCAGATGACCCCCTTGCCTTACTACTTTCCATTTCTCCACCTAAGTGAACTTTACCTAGCACTTTTCTTTTCTTTTAATACACACTCATTTTGTCTCATTCTAATATGAGGAAAGTCAATGAGTATAATTTGATCTTTACAGGCCTCTCCTGGCTGAACCCTCCTGAGTAAAAGTTAGCACAATGGATTCAGCCTTCCAGGAGTCCTAGGAAGATGGTCCCACTGCCCATCTTACTCCTTTTTCATCTTCCTGTCCTCACCACTACCTCCAGACAGGAGACAGTACAGTGTCATTCCAGGGAGTTACTGTGTTCTTATGACTAGGCTCCAGTGACAGCGTAATGGACACAGAATAGTCCTCTGGAGAAGACAGTCAAGTCCAAATTATGCACAGCTGTCTGCATTCTTGCTCTCCATGGACTCTTCTGTCAGAAGTGATCCATCACTTGTGTACCACTTCTTCCACAAGTGCATGCTTTGGGATTGTGACTGTTCGTCTCAAGGATTTCAATAACTAATAAAAAGGAACATAGGTTTTTTGAAGGCCTGCTATTTCAAAAGTGGATGGCTTATCATTTTTCCTAGTCCATCTTAATTTGAGTGCTCAGATTTAGAACAATATCTGACAGACAAGATTTTACAGAAGAGAACAGATGAAAGATATTTACCCACTTGTAGAAAAAAACCAATAGTTTCAGTGTTGTCCCAGCCCTTGACATGTGTGTCATGACCCACCCATTTCTCTGTGCTACCAGTATCCCCTTCTCTTCCCACCTATCTCCCCCATCTAGCCCTTGATTTGTCAAGCTTTTTGGGTTGCTGTGATTCCGAACACCTCAGCTGCAATAAACTTTGCAGTTATTCGCTATGCATCAGAGAGCTGGACAATGACTAGGGATGATAGGAGGAGAATTGGTGCCTTTGAGCTGTGGTGCTGGAGAAGAGTGTTGAATATACTATGGACTGCTAGGAAAACAAACAGGTTTGTCCTGGAGAGGATGAAGCTGGGCTGCTCCTTGGAGGCAAGGATTCTGAAGCTTTGTCTGACATAATTTGGACATGTTGCAAGGAGAGACGGATGTCATGCTTGGGAGGGTGGAGGTACAATGCAGGAGAGGAAGGCCCTCAAAGAGATGGATGGATTCAGTGACTGGGGTAATGGTGTGTTGAAGACACTGAGATTGGCACAGGATAGAGCAGTTTAGGGCTGTTGTATATATCATCGCTATGAGTCGCAGGTGACTTTCCAGCACATAACAATAAAAGGAAAGGCCTCCAGGCCCGCAGAAATGACCAGGGCCTCTCAACTTCCAGTGGCTCATCCTGTGTGCCTGGCCACGCGTGGTAAAGCAGGCTGGGGTGTGGTCTTTGCCCAGCAGCAGGAGAGAGCACTCTGAGCTTCCTTGTAATATCATGTTGATTATCAGAGCCCAGTTCCCACAGAGGCGGGGTTTCCTGTCTTCTGCTTCACCATGGGGACTGGGGAGGGAAGCTCTCTTGGTAGTGGGCTTCTAGGGAAGAACCAGGCTTGTAAGCTCTGCTCTGCGCTCTCCCAGGTGCATCATTTCCGGCATGGCCTCCGGCAGCATCGTCCTCTTCTACAACGATTTTAACCGGTGGCATCATGAATACCAGACGCGCTACTGAGGAGCCAGCCCTCCAGCCCTGCGGTGGCAGGGCAAGCACCCAGCATCACTCTTAGAAATAGCTATTACATCTGAATGTAACTTAAATTTGCTCTAAGCAGCAAAATATTTTTTAAAGTTAATTGCTATTTTTGTAGACTTTGCTTGACTTTTTTGGGGGGAAACAGCAAAGCAGAAAACTGGCTGCTGGGTTCTGTAGTTTAAAAAAAAATTCTATATTTTTTAGTCATAATAAGAAGTCTATTTTCACCAATTATGGAAACTTACAGTGAGGCAAGAAAGCCCACTAATTCTAGCTATAATATGAAGAACATTTCCCATTTGTAATCTTGAAAAATACGATTTTAACAGTAGAGAAATGGGTTATGATACTGGGGTGGGGGGTGGGGTTTATGCTCTACTCTGGAGCCTGTGTTGGTTTCTTTTCCCCCAAAAGCAATTGTACTTCTTCAGCACTGGAACTCCTGGGGATTTAAATAGTAATGTTAAAATTATGGTAAATGTAATTTAAAACATCTCAATTCTTTCTATCAATATTGTTTAAGCATGTTGTAGACCTAGGAAATTATGGTTTGAGGGGAGTTATTGTGTGGTTAACATAAGGAATCTAAAGTTAGAGCAAGTGTGAAATAGCTACGATGTCTTTTCCTGACCTATGTTGTTTATAGCACACAAGCTGAAATGATGGAATGTTCTTGGACACGTTTACAGTTAATGCAGTTACCAAAGCTCACCCTGAGGGTCGATAGCAACCGTGAGCCGGTGGAGCCGCCTGCACTCACCCTGGCTTTGAGGACAGAGACTACCAGGTGCTGTATTAAAGCAACAAACACCCTTTCACTTTCTATTTGTTATTAAACTATCTCCTCCTTCCTTTTGATTAGCGATTTGTACTCAGAATATTATTTTGGTGTTGTATACTTCTACTTTTCTAGTAGACTGCTGTGTGGAATTCTGTGAAAAAATTTGAGAAAAGGTCTGTATTGCATAATAAAATTCTTTGTATGTTGTGAACTTCTGGTTGCAACTGTTACCTGTTTCTCTTCCAACTTAGATGTCTTTATTCTTCCTCTACACTTGTGGGCAAAGTGGAGGGCTGTGGAAAAGAAGAAGACCCTCATCTGGACAGACTGTCACAATGACGCAGCCATGGCCTGAAGCCCTGGAGAAACTGTGAGACCCGGCACAGGCTCAGGCAAAGTGTAGACTCGTAGTAGGTCCCTGGGAGTCACATTCAACTTGAAGGCATCTAACAACACTCTCATCTATGCCTAAGAAACAAGTATTTAGAATGGAAAAGTTCAGTTGACAGAGATAGAGAGTATAACTATAATTTAATCTCTGTAACCATTTTTTTTACTCCCAACTTTAAAAAATTTACCAATCTAGAATGGACTCGATGCTGATCCCACATTGGGTTTCTGAGGCTGTAAATCACATAGAAGATAGTCCATATTTCTCCCTCAGGGACACTAGTGGACTAGAACTAGTGGACAGAAGTGTGGCCTATGGGTTAGCAGTAAAACTCCCTACAGACTTGATAAAATAGCTATTTGCAAAGAAAATGTCAAACTCTGTGTCTGTCAAATTTTTGATCACTAGCCAGTATGGGGAGAGTCTCCTGCATGAATGCAGGAAGACAGACCATGTAGGAATGAAGTTTCCATCTTGTTTGACTTCCCCAAATAAGAATACTGCACCTGTGCAATGACTACGCAGTGGGGTTTATGTTTTTAAAACCATTAAGAAAAATTGGATCATATGATGGGAGGCAGGGAAAGCATGTATTAGAATCAAATACCCTAAAGTTATTGCTAAATTCACTACCTCTTTCCTTACCAGTACTAATTCAGAGAAGATCTTTTAAAAACTTTAGGGGAAATGGTAGAAGAAAATAAATAATACTGAGGCAAATGCCAGGCATAGGACACTTTTCCTTCTCATAAACAGCCAAATACAAGGTTAATAAACAGGCTCCTCTTAGACTCTAGAGCTACTGCTTTCATTCTTATAAAACTTATACCCTAAAATTAGGGAGAAGTAAAATACAGGAAATATGTCATAATGTGGGAGAAAAATGGACCATCTCCTCCAGTGTGATTTACAGCCTGTGAAAGCCTGCTGGAGACGCAGCTGTGATTCAGTTCTGACCCCACAGTACAACACAACTACTTCATGAAATAGAGTTGACATCAGCACGAGGGCTTGTTTCTGACTGCATTTGTTTAGGAAGGTACATTTTGGGACTTCAACATCACTTATTTTATCCCATTTTAGCTCAAAACAGCCATTAATTCCAATAGATGTAAACCAATAATAAAAATATAGGTTAAAGTGGGGCTTGAGGATGAAAAGGAATGACCTAGGACAGAAGTAAAGGGTGACATTGCTGTGTGAGTAGCTGAAAAGGGCAGCGTGTGGTGCTGTAAAGTCCGTCACATCTTCTGTCAACCTTGGGAACAACAGCTCGGAACCCTGACTTTTCCTGCACCATCCTCAGTTCCTGCCGTGCTCACGTCTATTGCCGAAATCACTGTCCATTCGTCCCTTTGAGAGGCTTCCTCTTATTTGCTGATAGTCTCCACCTTTCCTGTATCACGTACTTTTTAAGAACTGGCACCTCTGGATGACAGTATAGGAGACATGGTTCCACACAGATGAATACCATAGTTAAGGCTGGTTTAAAGCCCTATCACCTCTACAAGTTACAAGTTAGCATTGACCAGTCATGCCCTTAATGCTCTGTAGTTCAAGAAATACTGGTAGGTTTCTGGGAAGAAAGAATGAGGACCTAAAAAGCAGAAGACACAAAAATGTGGCAGCCAAGAGGATAGAGATTTGCAGACACTTCCCTCATTATAAATCGTATCCCCCAGACACCATGATTTTTAGAAAGTAAGTACAATAGAAAGAATTTGCCCCTTGAAATCATATTCCCATTTCTATTTAGTAGTGTGCAAAACTGAAAAAGAAAATATTCCTGCCCAGAAGCCCTGAGCAACTGTAGCCAGACAACTGCCAAGAGCTCGTCAGAGCTGCCCTCGTTCATTCGCTCAAAGAGCCGAGCAGGTGGGGCCAGGATCCTCCCACCACCATCAGATGGGCAGGACAGTGGCCATGGGCCCATGAGAGGGCAGAGGATAGTGCAGTGCAGACAGGCCCCCACAGCCACTTCCGCTTTGCAGCCTGGGATGGAGAGAAAATTCGAGACTCGCCAACTCATCTCTCCGCAAGCACAGCTGAATTTAAACAGCATGCAGCAAATTAGAGATTTTCAGAAGGCATCTCTGATGTATCTTTACTGAATTTCAGGAAATTATGGGTTGGGTTTGGTCCACACTGCTGTGTCACTGCTGACGAAACACAAACCAGTGACACAAAGTTTCCTCCTGGACCAAGCAGCCCAAGTGTCTTCCGTCCACCGAGCTGCATAAGTTCCAACAGGTCCTTCTGTGCATAGAGCATGGAGTGGCAGCCAGCTTCACGGCTTCATGTCAGCATGGAAAATTCCATTAGAGCCAACTCATGTTTACAAACACAAGCAAGGCTGGGGGCGTGCCTTCAGTGTCAAGGTCTGCGCACTGTTACTCTTTGATTTTCCTTTTGCCATCGAGTTGATGTGAACTCACGGCCCCATTTGTGTCAGAAGAGAACAATGCTCCACCAGGTCGTCAGTGGCTGAGGCTTCACCAGGCCTTTCTGTGCAGGTGTCGCTGGGTCCACACCAACCTCTACTCTTCCCGTTAGCGTCCGCCGGGCTCCTCAGATTGTCCTGTCCGGGGACTCAGAAAAGAAAATCATGCCAGCCCATCTGACTGGCTCTGCCTTCCCTACAAGGGAAGTACAAGGGGTGCAAAGATGCAGTGACATTTTAGAATTTTGAGGAAGGAAGCAAAAGACTATAAAAACGAAAACTACCCCCCCCCCCAAAAAAAAATCCATTCTCAAGAGAGAAAAGAAATAACATTTACACTTTTCTTGGGATAGATTAACAAAGTCGTGCTGAGAATGTGTCTCTGCAGGGACGTAGACATATTTCCCGGGCTCCTGGAGGCTGTAAGACCACTACTGAGAAACCCAAGGCTGCTGTTAGCGACACTGACACATGGCCCTGGCCCTCCCCGCTATGAACTAGAAATGCAAATTGCTCAGCTGAAGGCACTTCACATTTTTCTTCCTAATGAAAATGAGCGTGGTTTGGCCGTTAGGCAAGCTATCTTCCTTGAGACAGATGGCTGCCCTACCCCTGAAGAAGGCAACCAACACTGTTCCTATGAAGGTGGGAACTCAGACCCCAGGGGTCACGTTCTACAGTCTTGAAGTGAATTATTTTTCTGTCTCAAGCTCAGGAATAATTTTTCCTTTCCCCAAACCAGATTTTGGTTGCAGCTCAATTAAATCTGCTCCCGTAAGATTACAACCTTGAAAAAAAAAAATCCCTGAATAGTTCTACTTGGTGTCCTCCTGAGAGGGTCACCGAGGCACCAATTTTGATCCAAGAGTAGTAAGTTGAAATTGACTTTATGGATGTGGGATTTGGGGTAAGCTTGTTTCCTCATACCTGACAGACACAAATTGGCAACTGTGTGGATTTGGGTTTGTTTTGTTTAAAAGACCCTCCTCAAATCTGACTTCAGCCTAAGCAAGGGCAGGAGTCCCACCCTCAAAATTCACAGCTCCCAGGGTGAAGCCAGTCTAGCAGGCCCCAGATGCCAGCTTTATCCAAAAGGAAAGACTTTCAGACCCAGAAGTCTTCATCTGTCTCTCTAGCATCCAGCCTTTTCCTTCCTTTAGCCACTCAGTGATACATTTCCCCATCAAACTGTGTTTGCGCTCAAGGTTTTACCGTAAGGTAATCCAGTAAAAACTCACCAGCAAAAACTTGCCACACTGCCGACATCACCATCCCTCCAGAAATACTCTTACTGTTGCTTTCAGTATTTCTGGTAGCTTCGTCACCTAAGATCCCCCACCATTGTGCCAGGAATCTTCCCCATTCCA